TTTTTTTTTTTTTTTTACAATGTTTTTCCATATAACGTGCGTTGTACAAGAATAAGACGATAATATGTAGTAAATAGAATGGACGTTAGAAAATGTGTAGATAATATATCGAAGATCGAATACGATCGAGGCGCAATTTTTTATATTTGTTTTGATGATACTCGATGACCGATGAATCATACGGTTGATTTGTTACTGGTATAAATTACTTTTTGAATTGAAAATTCACTGGTAAAATGAATTCTTTCCCTATCCCTTATTTCGAGCAATTTTAATAAAATTTAATAAAAATCTTTCAAATTTTTATTAGTTCAATTGTTATACGAATTTTAAAAAATTCTTTTCCGCTCTTAAAAATATTAAAATCTTTTTTTCGAACAATTGTTATGTTTATTTATTATTCATTATCGATAACATTCGCGCGCATGCGCGCGAGCGAGAAATTAATTATTAGTAACTTTCTATGATATATGCGCATGCAATTTTATCATCGACACATTAGCTAGAATATTATAAATTATAGGACGTTTCGCGCAGCTTTCAATAAAATATACGATACAGATGATTATAAATTATATCTTTGCATTGTTTCGTTGCTCGTGATGTTTCGAACTATGAACTATGAAGTAAGTATTCAAAATTGCATTTTAACGAACGTGGTATTCGATTGCACGTTTCAAAGCGTGATGCTTTTTTTGATTTTTCGATCAAGCCCGTCCGAAGTGATCAACGTAACGTTATCGAAATCGAATGTTCTTCTTATATAAATGCTTAATATACGTATATTTTCCAAGAAATACGAATTCGAAATGATCTTAAGACGATTGTATCGCAGCTCGTTAAATGCCCTTTAAAACGATGTCTTTTGTAAAATCGATGTTCTTTTCTTTTTTGTCAATCATCTGAACTGAATGTCAAAGTGAACGATTTAAAAATCAAGGAATATCCCATTGAATATAAACTCTTTGAGAATAAACATATTACAAGAAAAAAAAAACGGTATGTACATATGTATACATATAAAGCTACAGCAATCTCTAACAACTATAACCTCTCTTTCACCTCTTTTTTCTCACGTCACTTCACTTAACCAAACTTTTGATGCTCCTCGGTAAATTGGGTATAGAACCTTTGTTCACACTCGCTGCGGTCGGCCTCATGAAACTATGATTCTTGGCCCCGGCTCTCGGATGGATCAATTTACTTTTGGTAGCCGACGGCGTCGTCGCTTTTTCAACGTTGACGCGATTCAACGGAGCGGATAACGGTCCCACGCTGCTGCCGCTTCCGCTGCTGCTGCTACGCGAAGCGATTACTCGTCCTCCCTTGTTTCTTTTTTGCGCGTCGATGCTCGACTGAAACGAAACAAATGTTTCTTTTTCTCGTTCTCGTCTCGAAAAGGGAAGGAGAGGGGATGAAATCTTCGAGAGAAACACGGAATTACTTACTCCGAGAGATTTGCGAACAGTTCTTGCCGTCGGACCCACGCTACTTCCACTGCTGCTACTTCTGCTCGCGGGTATTCTGCTTATTGTCGTGGAACGTGGATTCGTACGACGTTTCTCGTTGTTCTTCAACGGCAACGGATTGTGAGATGGACTTTTTCGTAAGTCATTGGTCAACGCGCAAATCGCGGACGTGTAGGTGCGCAGAGGTGCGTGATTCGGTACTAAATTTCGCACGGTGTTGACAGACGTGGCGCTGTTCAACGAGCTTCGGGAACTGCGAAGACTGCTCCTCGATCCCGAACGTTCCACTTCGTTTCTCATTTGATTGTTGTTGTTGTTGTTGTTGGTCGATTGGAACGTCGAACTCGAATTTCGTTGCGCAGTTTCCGCCTTTCCAACATCTCGCTTCAAACTGTTGGCTCGTTTCGGGAGAAAGCTAGATTTCTCAACGGTGTGCTTTAACGAGTTGGCTTTGATCGTAGATGGCGCGGCGGACGTTTTTGTCGCTTTCAACGGATTTCCTCCAATCGGATTGGCCGAATCGTGGTTACCCAATGATTTGACATCAATGGTGGGTTGAACCATCGAAGGATTATTGGAATCGACTCCACCGTAACGCAATTCGGCCGGCGAGCATCGAGTTGAATCATGAGTGTCCGTTTCGTAATTTCCAGAGGACGTCTCTTGACTCAGGGTTTCCGAAACTAAACTTTGCGTCTCCTCGAAACCCTCGTCGTTCATCTCTTGATCACGAACTTTACCGGAGGGGGGCAAAGAGGAGAAAGAGTGGTGAGAGGTAGAGTTAGGGACATTCAGATGAGGGGACGAGGCGTAAGTGGGATGAAAGGCAGAACCGTCGTGGTTGGATCGCGGCGCGTCTTGCATCATTTTATTTTGGTTTCGAAGCGGCGTCGATTCGGAACGTTTGACGCGATGGATATTCTCGTTCGATTCGACGGCCAGATCGATTTCGTCTTCGGCAGGCTGATGTCGCGATCGGGAGGAGATTGAGACGTTTCGATCTTCGTTCACCTGACTGGGCGGATTGTTGGTCAAACTGATAGCCTCTTTCACCTGACTAGGATCGATCATGCTCCTCTGCCGCTCGCGACTGGTCACCGCTCTTTCCGCGTGAACGGTTAAAGACGGCTCGCGTGGCCTGGATTCTTGCATCACGGGGCTAAGAACGGTGTTCGTTACGGCGATCACGGCCGACGGTTGGCTAACCGGTAATCTCGAGTTTCGATTGGTGAACGGCCGCGACAATCGTTGAAGATCCTCACCGGAACGGGCGATCTCCGCCAGTGCCGTATCTATATCGAACAAATTCGACGTATCTTGCCGTTTCGATTTCTCTTCCCAAACAGGCGACGTTTGGCAACATTTCCCTCGCCCCTCTTCCTCCGACAATGGAAGCGTGTGCGGCCGTTCGGCCGGTTTCTCCCCAAACGAATCGCTATCGACCACTTCGTGCTTCGATTCTTTCTCCGCGCCGTTCTCTTGGTTCTTTTTGTACCTTCGCGTTCTCCTCGCCGACGAATAACGATCGAAATTACCTAAAACGATAATGATCGATAGAGATAGATTTGGATCTGGGAAAAGATTCGAAAAGAAGACACGATGTTGGCCTTACCTGTCCCGAAATCGGTGTTATTATTTACACTTTTTCCCGTCGCGTTCTTGAAATCTCTGGTTTGGAAGGAACCGTTGCAACGTTCCCTTTTGCAGGGCTCCCTCTCGACCGGTTTCACCTCTCTCGGCGGACTGAATAGTTTTCTAGTAGCCGGCGGTGTTTCTATATTATCGGAGTCGATCTCTATCTTGTCGATCATCTTTTCCTCATCCGCGCCTTTCTTCAGCTTGGAAGAAAATCTCCTCGAACCGCCGAGTTGAGGATCGCCGTAAGGTTGTCGCAGATAGATAGTTAATTCGTCCTGAGAAGTTGGATTATTCGCGGCATCGTTGATTTTGTTCTTTTTTCTCTCTTCCTCTTTAATGGACTGCAACATACAAAAAGGCAAAAGTGAAAATCGATTCTTTCCCTTTCGCGATTGTCTCGAGAAGGATAGAATTTTCGTTCTCTCGTGAAAAAAATGCGATGCAACGTGCCTGTAACGTGCTCGAAGAAGATAAAACGTTCTCCGCGCTCAGTCTCGATCTTAGCCTACGGGAATAACGCGGGTCAGTCTCTTCCATGCTGTTTGGTACGTTCAGGCTAGATTTTCGCCAAGGAGATTTATCCTTTTGCGATGGATGCGTTTCAGCCTCTGGAACGAGATCGAATTTGAATTTGGATTTGAAAAAAATATGAGAACAACGATGGATTACCTTCGATAGCCTCCATCGTGCGTATCACGTCTGTCTTCTCGACGGATGGACGCCAATCGTAAACTTCCGAGTAAGCATCGCGCGTGGAATTGGCCTCGATCTGAGTGTTCGTCTTGCTTTCGCTCTCTATTGACAGAAGTCAAAAAAGTTAGGTTAGAATTTTGAAAGAAATTTCGTATTTCACGTGTTCGTTTCAGTATTTACCAGAGTCTTCGTAAGATCGTCGATTCGCGTGATGCAATTGTCTCGCCTTCCTCTGAAGCTCTTCCCCTGCCCGATCTTCTTTTTCATTCTCCGACAACCACGCCTCAATTTTTTGCCGCCATGCTTTCCTATTCGACGCGTATGACATACGTATATATAATATATGTATTCATACGTATATTGTATATATTGTATATATTGTGTATATGTATATTGCGTATATGTATATTATGTATATTGCGTATATGTATATTGTATTGTGTATATATATTTGAGTCGTTTACCCTGTAGATTTCGTTTCTTCTTCTTGTAAGAAAGGTTTGCTCTCGATCAAGGGGGACGGAGAATTAGGTCTCTCGCGATCAATGGAAAAGTCGGCGTTTAACAGATCGCTTCTTCGAGATTGTCCTCGAGCCCTTCTCGCCCACGAACGATCTATCGTATAAAAGAGAATTTCTCACGACACGAATTTCACATAAAAAGGGTAAAGTAAAGATAATCTCGAACGAGATAATACGATCGTACCTAAACTACCCCACGATTTTCTCTCACGACTGCCATCTTGCCCCGACGTTCTCAAAAAGTCCATTAAATTACCGTCGTCGTCTTCGCAAGGTATCCGACTTCTTCGGCGTCGAAGAGTGCCGTTTGGCGTGACATCTGTGAGAAACAATTTGTAATAACTATTTTTAAGGAGGAAGAGAGAAAAACGATTCGCGTTTTCGTCACGCGTACCCGGTGAGTATATATCTTCTTTGGTAGATTGTTGATCGACGATCCCACCGGAACAAGAACCTAAACGTCGTCGGATATTGGGTGATCCGGTTATCGAGACATCTTCGTCAGAAGTGACGATACCGTTTTGCAGTCTTTTCATCTAAAAATCGAAAGAGGAGAAAGAGGTTAAGAAGAGGGATCGAAAGTAAGGAAACGTGAAAATTAATATACCTTAACATCGCTACGACTGTAATTCCTTTGAGGTAAACCGGTAGCAAAATCGAAAGGATCGTAACTGATTAAATTGCATTC